TGAATATGGTTTCTTCTATTGAATGAGTGAAGTTATTGGCGGAGATGGTGGGAGCAGAAGAAGGAAAGCTTGGTGTTGCTAGGGTCAGTTTCTAGGGCTTTGAGCAGGCTATTATTGATGATGTATTTATTTGCAAGACCGCGGCTCAACCTCAGGGAAGATTTCTATTGTTAGGGCGTCACAACTTTCTGTCAATTTCAGGCACACTCAAAAGATCCTGCCTCCATGGCCCCACAGCACCAAAGAACGGCTCCAAGGCAAAATTCCTGGGAGTGCGGTTTCTTCGCTCTCCCTGTCCCGTCTGCCTGTGGTGCTGATGCAATCCCTAAGACCACTAATGGCCAGCTCTGGAGTCTGTGATACCGCCCACATGCGGCGTCAAAGATGTGTGCAATTTCAGATATGTTGGAGTCGGGGGAGTACCTGCTAGTGACCTGCAGTCCCGATATCTGTGACAAAGAGAAGCATGATATCTCCCAGTCTGACCCCAGCCCACTCTGTGACCTGCTGGGAAGGGAAGGAGCTAGCCTTCCTGTCGAAACAGTGAGTTCTCCACCAGATGTCAGTGGCCACCAGCACCCAGATGATCCCAAATTACTGACAAAATCAGCTGCTGGAGGCAGGTCTCTGCCACTGCCAGCTGGAATATTACAGTGGTCGATGGTATGCTGTTATAAGGTGTCCTTCTTCTTGGCTTGGGGATCTCAGGCAGCCACCCTCACCTGGAAGACAGTGACTGCCCCAGGAAAGTTTCCAATTCCTCTCTCAGGTGTCCATCCATCCTCCGCCAGCAGCTCTTTCCTAAATAATCTCCCTGTGCCTTTCTTCTAATTCTGCTCTTCTGTGTTTGGTGCACTCTGATTCAGTGAGCTGTTCAGAGCACCAAAGTTCCTAATTCAAACTGTTTGCCTAGTTTTCCAAGACCTTAGATGCCAGAGGGAAAAAAAGCGAGCTTCTCACTGGCGAGACTCCATTTGGAATCTCCAAGAAAAGCACTATTGAAGAAGAAGAACAACGTAGGAGGTCTCACACTGCCAGATCTCAAAACCTACTATACAGCCACAGTAATTGAAACTGCATGGTATTGGTTTAATGACAGATACATAGATCAATGGAATAGAATTGAGAACCCAGAAATAGTTCCATTGACCTATGGTCAGCTGATCTTTGACAAAGGCCCAAAATCCATTAAATGGGGAAGAGTATGTCTGTTTGATAAATGGTGCTGGCAAAAGTGGAGATTCATTTGCAGAAAAATGAAACAAGATCTATACCTCATACCATACACAAAAACAAACTCCAGATGGATCAAAGACTTAAATGTGAAAGCTAAAACTATAGAGTTCCTCAAGAAAAAATGATGGGCAAATTTAGGGGACTTAATATATAGCATAAATAGACTATCAAGCAAACTCAAAATGCATAAACAGCAGAAGAGAAACCAGATGATTGGGACCTTTTGAAAATTAAATTTTTATGTGTTTCCAAAGACTTCTCCAAAAAGTCAAAAGAGAACCTACAGATTGGGAAAAAATATTTGGTAATGACCTATCTGACAAGGGACTTATCTCTAGAATTTATAGAAAACTCCAACACCTCAATAATAAAAAAGACAACAATCCAATTAAAAAATGGGCAGAAGACATGAATAGACACTTCACCAAGGAGGATATTCAAGTGGCCAACAAACAAATGAAGAAATGCTCACAATCACTAGCTATTAGAGAGATGCAAATCAAAACAACAACAGATACCATCTTGGTCCAGGACTAGTAGCAAAGTTCAACAAGACAGAAAATAACAAATGCTGACGAGGATGTGGAGATTAGGACTCTCATACACTGCTGGTGGGACTGTCAAATGGTACAACCATTGTGGAAAGCAGTATGGTGATTCCTTCAAAAGGTGGAATTAGAAATACCATTTGACCCAGCCATTCCTTTACTAGGTATATACCCTAAAGAAGTGAGAGCCATGACAAGAACAGACACATGTACACCCATGTTCATCGCAGCACTATTTACAATAGCCAAAAGATGGAAACACCCTAGGTGTCCATCAACTGAGGAATGGATAACCAAACTATGGTACATACACACAGTGGAATACTATGCAACGCTAAAGAATAATGCAGAATCTGCAAAACACTGCATAATGTGGATGAACTTGGAGGACATTATGCTGAGTGAAATAAGTTGATCACAAAAGGATAAATATTGTATTAGTCCATTACTGTAAAAGTCAAGGAAAGGTTCATCTATGGAAGGAAATTTTCTTTGTTGGTTATCAGGGGTGGGAGGGAAGGGGAGTGAACACTGTTAGACAGATAGAGGTAAGTATTGATTTGGGTGAAGAGAAGGGCAGTGTACCAAATTTGAGTGATCAATATGGTGGCACTGAGGAAGAGAAAGACATAGAGAGGTACATGGGAGGTATAGACAACAAAGATGAACCCTTTTGCACATACAGTACTGTGTTGTCAGTGAAGGCAAACATGGGTATACAGGTAGATAGATGGGTGGACAGATGTGTGGTCAGGCTGAACTAGTAAGTATGTCTATGAAGTGGGGAGTGGACCCAAGAACGTGTATCGGGTTGGCAGACAACAGTCCTATAAGTTTATGTGTATGATCTGAATTCCCAGGTGTATAGTAGAGCTGACAAGGCAAAGCTGTAGTCACTGCTTGGTCACAGCCACCTACTCAGAGGGACCGAGTAGTTGAACCTGTGGGCTCGGGACCATAGTCACTGGGGACATCAAGCTCAATTGGCAAACATACTATACAAAACATTGTTCCACCTATACTTTGGCGAATAGCGACTGGGATCTTAAAAGCCTGCAAGCTGCCATCTAGATGCAACGATGGGTCTCTCCTCGTCCAGAGCAAAGAAGAATGAAGAAAACCAAAAATTCATGGATACAATCAGTCCTAGCGACTGGTACACCATCCAATCTGCATCCTATAGTACCATAAGTCCAGAAGAACTAGATGGTGCCTGGCTACCACTGTCAACCACTTGGAAGGGGATCTATGCAGGAGATCCTGGATAGAGAGGGAGAACAATGTGGACAAAACTGAAAATCATTTGGAGACAAAAAAAAGGTGTGGGGGAGGGGATCAGGTTTGCTGGTCTGCTAGAGCCTGGTGGAACCACTGAGACTATGACCCTGAGCTGCGTGTCAGGTCTGGAATTGAACCCACACCTGTGGCTTCCAACCAAGCAAAAGACAGGCATATGAGTTGAACATTTACCTGAGGTGGATACACTCCTTGGAGAAAACAATCATGGGAGAAAGAAGGGCTGCTTATGCACAGGGAGACAGCTCAGCAGGCAGGAGTGCATAGAGAGATGGACACAGGGAAGAGGTAACTATCAGGATGATGTAGGAGGGAGATGTTGCATTGTGGTAAATTGTGGTTAATGTCATGAGACAAAGTGTATGTGAACTGCTGTATGGAAAGTTATTTGCTCTGTAAATTTTCACCCAAATCACAATAAAAAATAAAAACGAATGAATGAATAAATAAATAAATAAATAGCCCACCCACCCCAGCACAGGAAGCAAGTTCCTAGAGACAAGTGCTAGGCCTGCTGGCCCGTGGGTTTTCATCTCAGGCTTAGGCTGGGTTTGTGGATGGCACATCCAGCCTCAGGTTTTAGAACGCAGGGAGCTGGTGGCTAAGAACACAGACTGCCCTACCACCAAGCAGCAGTATAACAAGCGTGAGTGGATTATCCTCTCTAGGCCGTAGCATCTTCTATAAAGTGAAGAAACTGTTCAGAGGGCAGACGTGAGGATCTAATGTGCAGTACAGTACCAGGCATACAGTGGGCTCACAAAACAGACCAATTTCTCATTACATCTAGGCTGTGTGTGCCCCTCTCCAGGACACTTGGCTCTTCTCTTCCATTAGCTGGACCCACCTAAGAACACAATCTTCCAACCCTGAAGGGCAGGGGTGAAGCAAGAGTGTGATTACATCCCAACCTGGCCCCTTATTTCCTCTCACTCTCACATCTTGTCCTTAAACAATGCTCCACCCCAACCCCAAAGCTGGAAGAACCTGATAACAGTCTCAAGAGTTCTCTAGAATGATGACTTAAGTGGGTATAAAAAAAGAAAGCAAGAAAATAAAAAATAAAACTTTATTAAAACAGCTACACCTAGCAGCTCTAACACTTTTTAGACGGCACACCTATGCAGCAAGAGATACATAGAAGCCTAGTGTTATTTGGTACATTTCTAATTAATTGTGAAATTCTAAATTGCTTACTTATTTTCCCTTCATGAATTCAAAGAGAAAAATCCATACTATGGTTTTAACTCTCATCTCCTTGATTTGACACTGAAACTGACCCTGTCTTGGGCCCCAGTGTCCCCTAGTTAAAGGTCTTTTCCAGATCTACCTGCCTGGCTAGGACTAGGGCTGAAGTCCAGCCTCTCTCTCTGCCAACAGTGAGAGGTGTGCAGAGTCAACGCTAGCTTCCAGCACTCATCACCCCTCTGCAGCAATCTTCCTACATGGGACAAGAGAGTAACTATTGCTGCTTGTTCTGGTTAGGCTGATCTGAACAGATTAAAGGTTTTATCACAAGGGCCTAAAAGCTACCTGAGGCCACCCTCAGCCTGCATGTCTAGGGAATGGGGGGAGGGGTCCAAGGCCCCCTTAGTTGAGGGCCCTGAACAACAGAGCAGGGTAGAGGTTGCTTTAGTCCTTCTTGCCTCCCAGTGCTGGGCTTCTTGTGAGGGGCTTCCCTGGGCTGGAGCGGGTCAGTGTGGACACTGTAGGGGATTCCAGCTTCACTCTGTCCAGGAGGGTCTTCTTGAGGGCAGCTGGGGAGATCTTTTCTTGGTCAGCCATGGACTGCAGCTCTCTGAAAACAAAGCCCCAAAAGGGATGAAAGAGGAAGGCAGTAAACTGGAGCCAGGGCTTCCTGAAGCTTTCCCATCTTCACAATCTCTGTTCCTCATCAACCTGACACTACTGAACATTAGAATCTCAAACCAAAGGATTCCCCCAAGCTTCTTAGAAGTACTATTTAGCTATGTTTAGGTTTTATTTTATTTGATCTAAAATACATGTGGTGCTCCAAAGGGTGCCTGTGATCACAGGGGAGAGAGAGTGTGGAAAAATCACTAGCTTTGAAGCACAGACTGGATGTTGAATTCTGCCTCCATCATTTATTAGTTGTTTCACCTTGAGCAAATTGTCTGTCTCTAAGCCTCGACATAAATCAAAGCTAATCCCAGCCATCAAAACTACATGGAGAATTAAATAACACCTGCAAACCCTAGCTAAACAAAGTCTAGTATAAGTGGTGGTTATTAACCTCAGCACAGATCCCAGCACTGCTAATGGGACCAAAGATGGCAGGTTCTACAAAATAGCAGCCAGCCTGGAGTGGAGGGGAGTAGAGGTCCTGGCTGGGAGTGGAGGTCCTGGGGGAGGGGAGGAGGCAAACAGGACCCACCGTGTTCGGATGCAGGAGGCCTCAACTGCATTGATAAGCAGGGACCGGAAGCCTCCACTCTCCAGGAAGTGCAGGGCATGGATGGTGGCACCTCCAGGGGAGCAGACATTGTCTTTGAGTTGGCCTGGGTGCTGCTCTGAGTCCAACAGCATCTTGGCAGCTCCCTACAGCAGGAAGGGAGCATCAGAGAAGGCCACTGATGCACCCTGGGACACACTCCACCAAGTTCACTGCTCCTCCCTAACCCCAATCCCAGCTCCCCAACAAACCCTTGGCCCTAGCTCAGTGACCCACGAGAACCCGTTTCACACTGTGCAGAGGAGATACTGACCAGCAAGGCCTGGGCCCCAAGTCGGACTGCCAGGCGCCGTGGAAGGCCCATTTTTACCCCACCATCCGCTAACGCATCCAGGGCCATGAACGCCTATGGAGACACTCAGTGAGCCCCAAGTAGCAGGCCTGGGACTGGAGGGCACTCCTCAGGGTCTGCTTTTTCTGATGACTGGAACTAACTCCAGGGAGTCAGCCTCTACCAGACATCTGTACCAAGAGGTAGGTGACTCCAGCCCAAGCTAGTCTGCCAACCCATCTGCTCCCATAGGCTCCCAGGAAGACTGAGAAAGCAAGAGGGCCTCACATAGGCAGGACCGCTGCCACTGAGTCCCGTGACAGCGTCGATCAGGTCTTCTTCCACCTCTGTGCAGAAGCCCACACTGCTCATGAGCTGCTCCAGGAGCTGCCCATCCTCCACCAAGGCATGGGTGCCTGTGGCATACACTGTGGCACCCTCTCGCACCACTACAGGTGTGTTGGTCATGCATCGGATCACTTTGGGGGCTGGCTGGAACGTCATCAGCTTCTGTAACAAAGAAGACCACCAAGTGAGTTGCCAGGGCACAGCTCCCCAAAAACACCCATCCGTTCATAGACACCCCTCCTCTCACACAAGGCTGAGACAAGCACCTTCTCCACGGAGCTGATGGTGACACCGGCCGCACAGGAGACCACGATGTGCCGGGCCTTCACGTCAGCCCCAATCTCATCCAGGATGAAGGGGATGATGTGTGGCTTCACAGCCAGGAACAGGACGTCACTGTGCCACACCGTCTCCTTGTTGCTGCGGGTCAGGTTCACGCCCATTTTCTGCAGAAGGAGACTGCTGGGGTCCCAATGCTGGGTAGCCTGAGTACACCCAGTCCATACACGGAGCAGCCGAAGCCTGCCAAACCCACCTGCCAGCCGCAAGCCTGGAATTCCCTCTGTTGCCCATTTAGGGTTTGGCCCCAATTCCAACTGGCAGAGTTTCCCACTGCTATTACTGGACAAATGAGCAAGGAGCTGGCCATGACAAGTTTCTTCATGGTAACCAGGAAGTGGCTATCCTCCAACCCCCATCAATCCTCAGGTACCCATGAGACCCATTGTCACGTAAGAAGACTCCATTATTGGAAAGTGGCATAGGCAAAAGGAAAGGTGAAATGCCAGTGTCAATGATTATTAGAAGAGCTGGATCAGGTCCTTTTCCAACCTCAGCAATTTGTTCATCATATCACATAAACTCTGTGTGGCCCAGGGTTGGACTGCTGGACGACACCCACCCCTCTAGGATTCCTAGCTTGAAGCAGGGCCCTGCACGGCTAGGAACATCAGCCAATCCTAGACATGGCCTTTGCTTGTCCCCTACCTCATTAGCTATCCTCTCCCATACTGCCCAGGTTTAGGGGGAAGACAGGACATACTGTTTTCAGAGAGAAGAGCAACTGAATAGCCATGTCCTTTCCCAACATGCTCATTCACACCTCAGAACAACTCAGCAAAGTAGCTATTGTTGTTTCTATTTTACAGATAAGAAAATTAAGCCTTAGAGTGGCAAACAGCTGGTTAATTAATGGTGATAACTGGTTACCTACCATGTACCAGGAGTCCCTGGCTGCAAATGGTTGATGTGTTCAGCTGCTACCCAAAAGGTTGGAGGTTCAAATCCACCCAGAGGCTCTCAGAAGACAGGCCGGGCAATTTACTTTCCAAGATCTGCTACTGAAAACCCTACAGAGCACAGTTCTACTCTGATACACATGAGGTCACCATGAGTTGGGGTCAACTCAATGGTCATTGGTTTTTTACTAGGTGCTCTAATAGATGCTTTCCATTCATAATCACCTCATTTAATCCTCCCACTGTTTGAATTTGACCCCAGTGTGTCTGCCTGCCAGGCACTCCGCTGAAGAAAGACTGGGCAGTCTACTTCCGTAAAGATTTACCGCCTCACAAACCCAAAGGGGGTCGCTATGAGTCGGAATCCATTCCATGGCAGTGAGTTTGGTTTCGTTTTTTTTTTTGGTGTCTGCCTGAGTAGTCCCACCACACTGAGCTGCCCCAGAGAAGGTGACGGATCTGTGGTGGGATATCAGCCAGTCAATGGCCAGGTCAGGAACTCACGCCCCTCATTAGCCATCCTTGTCGTAGACCCCCACACTCTTCCCCACACCTCTCCGACCCCACCTACCCTGAGCGCGGACACGGTGGGCAGATCCATTTCCGGGGAGCTGGCTATTATTTTGTGGGCGGACAAGACGCCTGCAGAAGAAACAACTTTTCACATTCTTTCCCTGAGAAAACAGTCAAAACCCACAACCTTTCTCCCTCCCTCAAACCTTTTCCGCCGGCGTAAGACTAATTTTGCTGCCTTAACAAGAGTCTCTTTTAAGCCACCAAATGTAATTCCTCATTCTTCTATTCATTCACTCACTCATTCATTCTCACGGGGTGAAGACTGTTCACAAACTGGGCTTAGGACCAACACGGATGCTCCCGTCCCACGCCATTACCCGCAGCTGTGAAGCCACGCGCCAGTGCACAGGCCAGCTGGCCCGCGCCAATGAAGCCCACGCTCATGGTCAAGGCGCTGCCTCTCCTTCGCAGCCGAAGCAAGGGCTGACAGATGCTACCAAGGGAAGGCCGGCGAGTGCAAGGACCCAGCGGGTAGTGCGGCCGAGGAAACCGGATCCGGCGAACTCCGGGACGTTTCCGGGTTGGCGCGGAACTGAGCTCAGTTACACCAGGAGCCAACTCGGGAATACCCGGAGAGCTCCGACGCACCGCAAGGCGCGATCTCAGACCCTTTGCCAACTTGCTAGCTAACCCGAAGGCCGCTGATGGTTTCGCAGGCCGCTGATGGTTCCGCAAGACCACACGTGGCCCTGTCCGCCGGGCGTCCAATCCGCGGCCGGGAGTTCGAAGTGGTCCAATCGGCAGTCCGGCCAAGGACGTGTGCCCGCCTTCTCACGCTGTCTCGGGCGGAACCTCAGACCCAGGGACTGAATACCTGATGCTGGTCCGGGCCGCTCTCACCAGAGCTCCTAGTTCGCTGTCCAGAATGTAGGGCTGCTGTCATTTCTGTCGCTGGCCATCAGCCATTTTTCATTGTCAAGAGGACTTCTCCAAAAGGCCAGTCTGAGGGGACTACCAGAGGTTAGACAAACCAAATCAAAGGCACTGCGATCAAGTTGGATGCGACTCCTAGTGACCCCGCTTTGGGTTTCCGAGGCGGTATCATTACGAAGTAGATTGCCCAACCTTCCTTCTGAGCAGCGGCTGGTGGGTTAGAGGATAACGAAAACCTGCGGGCTAAGCCAGGCTCCTCGGAGCGCCCGGCGATTAGCTGGGATGGAGCCAAAGGGCGCCCCGCCTCCGCCGGCTCCCTCCCAGCCCACGTGGGAAGGTGGCGGAGTATCCATGGTTTGTTCCCTTGAACTTGCCTGGCTCCTCTCAATTTATTTTCTTAACTAGATTGCAAGTAGTATCCGTTTCAACGTTTAAGAAATTATCTGCTCCTTAGGGCGCTACAACGTTTAAGATATTATCTGTTGTCTAGGGCGCAGGGAGCTCTGGTAGCATAGTGGCTAAAGCACTTGACTGCTAACCAGAAGGCTGGCGGTTCAAACCCACCAGCCACTCCTCAGAAGGAAGGTTGGGCAATCCTACTTCTGTAGTGATACTGCCTCGGAAACCCAAGGAGGGGTCGCTATGAGTCGGGGCCGACTCGACGGCACACAACAACAACAGGGCGCAGGGAGGCATTGGCTGGTAACCAAAAGATAGGCGATTCTAACCCACCAGCTGCTCCCCTGGAGAAAGATGAGGCAATCTGCTTCCATAAAGATTTTAAGCCCTGGAAACCCTAAGGGGAATTGACTTGATGACAGTGGGTTTTTTGTTTTGTTAAATTGTTTAGGGCCTGACTAAAATATAAGCAAGTCTACAACTCCACCTGCTCCCCTACTCCTACTTGCTTTTAAAAGCTCCAGAAATTAGATGTTTCCTTTTCCATCAATAGTACATACGTATGAGGAAGAGGAATACATAGGTGCATGGGAGGTACAGACAACAAAGATGAACCCTTTTGCACATACAGTACTGCGTTGTTAGTGAAGGCAAACATGGGTATACAGGTGGATAGATGGATGGACAGGCTGAACTAGTAGGTATATCTATGCAGAGGGCAGTGTGCCCATGACCATGTATAGAGTTGGCAGACAATGTTTCTACAAGTGTATTTGTATGTTGTGTAAGAATTTCTAGGTACACAGAAGAAATAGATGGTGCTTGGCTACTACTGTCAACCACTTGGAAGAGGATCTTTGTAGGAGATCCTGGATAGACAGGGGGAACAATGTGGAACAAAACTCAAAATCATTTGGGGAAAAAAAAAAAAAGGCGGGGAACAGGTTTGCTGGGCCGATGGAGCCTGGTGGAACCACTGAGACTAGCTGCCCTTTGGGTCTGGAATTGAACGCACAACTGTGGCTTCCAGTCAAGCAATAGACAGGCATACTAGTTGAGCATTTACCTGAGATAGATACACTCCTTGGAGAGAACAAGCAAGAGAGAAAGAAGGGCTGCTCAGGCACAGGGAGACAACTCAGGGGGTAGGAGTCCATGGAGGGATGGACACAGGGAAGTGGTAGCTATCGGGAGGAAGTGGGAGAGGAGATGTTGCATTGTGCTAAATTGTGGTCAATGTCATGAGACAAAGTGTATGTGATCTGCTGTTTAGAAAGTGTATTTGCTCTGTAAATTTCCACCCAAATCACAATAAAAATAAAGAAAGAATTTCTAGGTATATAATAGAGCTGACAAGGGACAAGCCACAGCCAGCTACCCAGAGTAAGCAAGTAGTTGGACTGGTGGACTCGGGACTATGGTCACAGGGACATTAAGCTCATTTGGCATAACATACTGCACAGAAACATTGTTCCGCCTCCTACTTTCGTGATCTTAAAAGCGTGCAAGTGGCTAGATACAACAACGGGTGTCTCCTCGTCCAAAGCAAAGAAGAATGAAGAAAACCAAAGACGCATGGAAACAGTTAGTCCAAGGGATTGGTACACCATGCGATCCTCAGCCTGTATGACTATGAGACCAGAAGAACTAGATGGTGCCCAGCTACCACTGTCAGCTACTCAAAGGGGGATCTATGTAGGAGAACCTGGATGGAGTGGGAGAGCAATGTGGAACAAAACTCAAAATCATTTTAAAAAAAAAGAAGGGGACAAGGTTTGCTGATCTGATAGAGCCTGGTGGAAGCCCTGACACTATGGCCCCAGTTGCCCTTCAGGTCTGGAATTCAACCCACTCCTGTGGCTTCCAGCCAAACAAAAGACCATTTTGTGGGATTTTCATCCAAGAACCAAATTTCTGGGCAAGTTCCCATACCCTTAGCTTCTGCATTCTTAAAAATGGGGACCAGATGTTTACTATTAAGTAAAATAATATTTCTATAACTTTTTCTAGGGAGCTCTGGTAGCATAGTGGCTAAGGCACTTGACTGCTAACCAGAAGGCTGGCGGTTCAAACCCACCAGCCACTCCTTGGAAGGAAGATGGGGCAATCTACTTATGTAGTGATACTGCCTCGGAAACCCAAGGAGGGGTTGCTGAGTTGGGTCCGACTCAACAGCACATAACAACAACAACAACAACATAACTTTTTCTGGTTATAGAAGTAATACACATTTATTGAGGAAAATTGGAGAATACAAAAAAAGTGAAAAATGCTGCTGTTGTTGCTAGGTGCTGTCGAGTCTGTTCCGACTCAGCGACACTATGCACAACAGAACGAAACAGCTTGTTTTTGTGCCATCTTTATAACCGTCCCCATGCTTGAGCCTGAGAGCTCTGGTGGGATAGTGCCTAAAGCATTTGACTGCTAACCAGAAGGCTGGTGGTTCAAACCCACCAGTCACTCCTCAGAAGGAAGACTGGGCAGTCTACTTCCATAGTGATACGGACTCAGAAACCTAAGGAGGGGTCGCTATGAGTTGGATCCGACTTGATGGCAGTGAGTTGTTTTTTTTTTTTCTTAAATGCTTGAGCCCGTCATTATAGTCACTGTGTCAATCCATCTCCCTGAGAGGCTTCCCTTTTTATGCTGATGCTCCACTTTACCTAGCATGATATCCTTCTGCAGGGATCAGTCACTTCTGACAACATGACCAAAGTACAAGAGAGGAAATCTGGCCATTATTGCTTCTAAGAAGCATTCTAACTGTACTTCTTCAATACAGATTTGTTCATTCTTTCAGCAGTCCATAGTGTATTCACTATTCTTTCCCAAAACCACAATGCAAATGCATCAGTTCTTCTGTTGTCTTCTTATTTGTTGTCCAGCTCACATGTGCATATGAGGCTATTGAAAATACCATGGCTTGGGTCAGGTGCACATTAGTCTTCAAAAAATCTTTGCTCTTTACCACTTTAAAGAGGTCTCTCTTAGTTCTCTAGTGCTCTTATAACAGGAATAACACAAGTGGATGGCTTTAACAAAAAGGAATTTATTCTTTTACAGTTTAGGAGGTTAGAAGTCCAGATTCAGAATGCCAGCTCTAGGGGCTGGGTGAAGGGCCCTCAACCTTAGGTTTCAGCTCTGCCTCTTGTTCCAGGCACACTGGAGCTGGAGGCATCTTCTAACTCATGCAGATGCTGGTTGCTGAGGCTGATGAACCCAAAGTCAGCAGGTAAAATGGCACAATCCCAAGATCAGCAGGCAACATGGCAGGCCACTGGTTCAAGTCCAAGAACAGTCCCAAGGTTGGCAAACAACACATGAGGCTGGTGGTTCAAGTTCAGGAAGTGGAGATGTAGAGTTGGCCAAATGCAGGGTCCAAATGTGTCCAAAAGCTGAAGACCTTTCCCAGAGCTTCTCCATATATATTGGAAGAAGGCCACACCCCAAAAGTAATTCCCCTTAAACTACTTAGCTGCTCACAGCAGATTCCACCATGGAGGTGATTACAATTTCATCATGGAGAATAACTGTATCCAGCTACCAAGATACTTAAGACCACAGCCCAGCCAAGTTGACACACAACCTTAATTACCACAAGGTCTTTTGCAGAAGATTTGCCCAATGAAATAAGTCATTTTATTTCTTTTTTTTTTTTCTCAGTATCTTACCATGTTTATTTGTAAATATTTTAATTTCTTTTTTTCCCCCAAGATTTTATTTTTTTATTGTGATCTGGGTGAAGATTTACAGAGCAAATTCTTTCCGTACAGCAGTTCACATATACTTTGTCTCATGTCATTGACCACAGTTTACCACAATGCAACAGCTCCCCTCCCACTACTTCCCCACAATTACCTCTTCCCAGTGTCCATCCCTTCATACACTCCTGCCCCCTGAGCTGTCTCCCTGTGCATATGCAGCCCATCTTTCTCCCATGATTGTTCTCTCCAAGGAGTGTATCTACTTGAGGTAAATGTTCAA